GTCTATAGAAGATATCAGCGGGTCGAAAAATTAGGACCCACCAACACTTTGTCACCTGGTGAATATAATCCAGCGTAGGATAAGTAGATAACCATTGCAATGAAAGAAAATTTCAAATCAATATTTCAGAACTTATGAGAAAGTACATGTCCATGGCAATTTTACAAGAGGTGGTCACTTTCTGTTTGGAATATCATACAACCAACCTTTGATCACGAGTATGAGTTCGAAGTATCAAGACACTGATCATTCATCTTCATATGAACGAAATTACTACGATTATGGCACATTATCAAAAGCCGCCACTAAAGCTTCCCCAAATGATACGGATTAGTCTTGTTAACGGTCACTTACCAAGGGTATTGAGTTCAGTATGGTTTCTGAGGATCTGAAATCCGTTGGCTCGCACCCTAATTTCAAGGGGCCTCGGACCTCGCATCGGAGAGATGGAGTAACTGTATGTTTAGATCACAATACAAACAATATATCTGGCAATTTTAACAAATACAAATTTTTTAACTTTAGCTGCAAGTAGATTTAAGAGACTGTCTGAATTTTAAAGTATGTTCGAAAAGTTCGATGTTTAAATTAAGTTATTCCGAAATTTGTACCCCAAAGCACTTGCCGTAATTTAAAAAAAAAATTAAGCTCTCATCTTGAAATTATTATCGATGAAATGAGGACGATAGGCTTTGGGAAAGCCGTTATAAAGAAAGTATAGTCCTTTGAGAAAAGTAAACGCTTGGTTTTTAGAGCGATTATGTGTATGAATAGCGCGGCAAGAATAAAAGACCAAACAGTATTTTGGACAAGTCTTCTCCCTTGAAGTTGAAATCGACAAATAAAAAAAAAAGACAAATCTCAAAAAAAAGACAAAAATCACATTTCGAGACTGGCACGTGCAAACACTTGTCAGTTCTCGCTCGACTGTTCATTTAGACGCCTTGTACCAGGTGCGAGCGATGAGACGTTTGATCGATATCGTCATACACCACATTGGACGGTCCGAACCGATACTCGTCTTGAAGTACGGACTGTCGAGACCTCGGAGATGTCATAATTTGCGAGAATACAAACGGCAAGAGATAAGAATCATCAAGCGATTTGCGAAGATTTTCAGGGTGGGCCTAGAACGTGAGATAAGTGAATTCTTTTTGGGGACAGAGTTATAGTACGTTTACGGTTTACCTAGATGGCGTCAGGCCCGATGGTGTGCTACTATAACCATTCTCTTCTCAGCCTTACCTGTGATATTCATTATCATTACATTTATATTTTTAAAACATAATTCTTAATTACTTTTACTTATTCTACTCCATATAATCACCAAACAGCCATATATCATATATTTACATTCAATTGTTTATAATACCATTTATTCATAGATATAGAATATAGAATTATTTACCATAGAGTTTATTTATATACAGAGTTTGATTATATCTAGAATTATTAA